CGGTTGTGACAGAATTGAGTTTTGTGTTTCACAAAATACGTTTTGTGGGACAGATTGACAGAATTAGTTTTGTGCTTCACAAATGACTCATTTTGTCATAGATTTAATAGGTACAAAAAATGCACTGTCCTGCCCATGGCCGCCCCGTACGTATATTCGGCACCTATGCTGGCCGCGTATGGTTTGGGATTCGTCGTGAAACGCATTCGAATTGCGAAACTGTTCAGCGCGCTAACCTTAGACTGCTACCGTTCGGCTGTTACCACGACTAGTGTAGCGTTGGAACTTGTCGACGGTACCAGTTCTATTATACCTAGCTTAAGTCGAATCTCGCTGTATCTCGTGTGAACGCATTTTCCGAACTTAGCGACCAACTAGTACGGTACCAGCTAGGGCTCCGTGATATACGTGTAAGCAGCTAGTATGTATTGTGCCAAATTTGTAAGAAAACAAGTTGTCATCACTTATGCGTGTGAATAAACACAAGCTTTAAATTTTAATCCACCCTTCGTATTGGAATACACACCGCTCTTGCCCGACAATCAGGGCGTAGCCAGTATATGTAGCCTTAGGCCCGGGCCTACACTTTTTTTGGCCAAGTTATCTTTTTTTTTTAAACACCATATTCAATAAATCCATAAGCTGGGCTTTGACGCAGTGCTAGGACGAGGACAAACTAGTTGAAAGATGAAGCGTTAGCAAGAATATGCGCTAAATTACAGTGACCCGTATTTTCTGTCATCTAGGCTGTCATTTCATTAATCGCGTGCCATTTCATTCAACACTCTACCGCCGAAAAGACTAGATCCATTCTTGTCAGTGTTTTTACACATTTAACTGTTCTTAACTTGTTGTTTAAAAAAAAAAAAAAAAAAAAAAAGTAAAAAAAAAAAAAGAATCCTATTTTAACCGTTTGTGTTTTTTGGGTTTAAAAGTGATATTGAATTAGGTTATGCTCCTCAAGGTTAGCCAGATAGTCACGGAGACCAGACGGGGGATGAACACTGGGAAGGGCCGTTCGCCATCTGGGGGGTTTGTAAAACCAAAAATTTTCTTGTTACGCTGCCGCGCCAACCGATGTGTGCCGTCTCGCTCACACTAGTCGTGCCTACAACTTTTTCAAAATCCGGCTACGCCGCCTGCGACAATGAAGTAATAAGACCATTGTTTTGATTTATAATTTTATTTGCATTGGCTTCAGTGCATAAAATATCAGTTAAACGGTTCTTGGTTTCGAAATCTGATCGGGAGCATTTGTTTTAATGTACACTGGTTCCCTAATAAAATTGCATGTCAGTCTCGTAATATTAAAAAATACCTAGCTATTTTCTCAAAGTATATTGAATCCTGAGCTGTTAGCACTATTCTAGAAATGAAAGTATTGTGTCAACTAAAAAATATAGAGGCAATTTGATAGTGAGTATAGCCACAAATTAAAAGGTTAGGCCTATATTGTAGAAATAAGAATGTTTAAAATCAGGACTGTCTGGGGTTCACACCTAATTTTGTGTTCACTGAACATCGAGTCCCATTTAAAATTGTAGATTCAGGAACAAAGGCAATTTCCAGATGTATCTTATTGTCTTTCTTTGTGTAAGGGGTTTCTGCAATAAACACTTATTGGTGTGCAGTGTGTTATTACCCTTGATTGTTTTTACCATTCATCAGCAAAGCGAAGCTGTCCAAAAAACAACCTTAATAATTATATCTTTCCCATTGATCAATTGTGTTAGATAATTGAGTAGATATGCAGTTGCACAGTATTAGGAGTTAATAATGACAAATAATTAAAACTTTGTCATTATTAACTCCTGACAGTATATATCAGCATTATGGCTTTCCGTAATGATCTTCTAGTTAGGTTACTTTTTGAGTATGTGCCATACCTGTTAACATATGTTTGCATTTATTTAAATGTTAAGTACGTATAATCAGGATTTAATGAAGACAAATGTTTGTCTTTATTAACTCCTGGTATAATGTAGCCTATATAAATAGAGGAAATTACCTATCAGTTATTCATACTTTATAGATGTGTATGGTAAGTTATAAAGCAACATATTCAACATAATATTTGTTTAATTATCACAGCACCTCTGGAGAATCGTTATATAATGTACTTGGCGTGACAAAAACATCAACTCCTCAAGACATTAAAAACGCCTACAGGCTGGTACGTATTAGGAGTCTAACAATGCCTTAAACTATTGTTACATTGCAATAATCGACAGCTAATATCGGTAAATCAATAAGGAGTTTAAATATCAATAATCCTAATATCGCAAAAATAACTAGTGTGTAATAGGTGAGCTTTTGAACATGGTGTGGTATTACATTTTCCCGGTAGTCTATATGCTGAGATATTGCACGTTCTACTCTGCTAAATTTGTCAAGATTTCGTTCATCCCCAATACTTGTTACTTGGGTAGCTGCTAAATAACTTGCTGTTTTTCAGCTTGCCTTACAATATCACCCAGACAGGAATCTAGAGAACCCAGAGGCAGAGGAGAAGGTGAGAAACGGACAAACGGCGACAGTGTACTAGAGTGGTCCACAACCTAAAATTCAAACATGTAAAACTCGGAACTTTAGACGAGTAATTTAGATATCATGAGAAGTTATGTGCGCAAAGTGCACATCACGAGTGCGAAGTCCCTTGCGGCCGGTGTCCAGGGCCCGGTGCACACATAACAGGCACGCGCGCAGGCACGCGCGCAGGCACGCACGCAGGCACACACGCAGGCACGCGCGCAGGCACACACGCAGGCACGTGCGCATGCACGCGTGTAGGCACACGTGCGCAGTGTACAGGAACGCTCGCATGAATCAGAGCAAGCAGCTTAGAAGACGTACACGCACTTTATGACTCGACTGCCCGTTAAGACAAGTGGGAGCCCATGCACAGGGGCGTAGCTACGGAGGGGGGGGCCTGAAAATTCATGCTTGATAAAAAAAAATTGAATTAAAAAAATGCCGTTAGAACAGTATAATACAAAGAAAGAGGGTTCGAACCACATCTCAGTAAAATTATATATTGTGCCCCCCCCCCCACGAAAATGTAAGGCCCCCCAATGCTCCCCGCTGAAAAAATTCTAGCTACGCCACTGCCCATGCACAGAGTGAAACAGTGTAATAGACTGTAATAGCACACGCTGTGTAGCGCTGTTGTAACGTTGAATTAATGTTCGATGTAGAAACGATGAAGAAGAAATCCAAACTTGTGTGGTAACCTGAGTAAACTTTAATATATGCTCGCACACAGTGTGTCCATCTTGCATAAAGAGATAAAGAAACGCGCTCACGCGCGTGTGCTTACTCCCCCAACCACAATCAGACTCCTCGACTCCTACATCACTCCCCCTCAATCTCCCTAACCTATTACCCCGAAACACCCTACATCCTGAGCACACATGTCACCCGTTCTCCCAGACCGCGTCCTACCCCTATTTCACAAATGACCCTAGAAACGCCCGACCTAAAACATGTTTACCATTCTCCCTATAACATCAATCTAGCCGCACAAGATGCGCGACGCTCTGCCGACGCATTTGTAAAACATATGTTACATTATCTCCCCCTTCCCCAAGACGATGACTACCCTGTCATCGATTCAGCGACCCCGCTGATCTACACTTCAACCTAAACCTAAACAATTCCAAAAAAATACTACCTTAATACTTTCCTAACTCAACCCCAACAAGAGAAACGTATTTATGTCCAATTAAACAACCCACAATCAATACACAAACAAAACAACAATAAAAATACAATAAAAAAATGCATATGAAACATAAATTTAATTTCTATACAAAACAAGTAACGATAAAGTTCGATCATCATACAAGTCAGAAATTCAACAAATTTGGCAGTGAACATTTTGATATCGCTGCAATTACTCTCACTCTTGCGTCTTTTTATGATGTAACGTACGTGGCGTATGCGTATACCGACACGCATTACCGAAACCACGCTTAGCCATGTGCTCCGCAAAACTACGCAAAACTGATTTCATATTTTCGATGAAATGTTTTAGGCCTATCAAACTCTAATTGAAGAATAATATTGAACTATAATTGTCTGACAATATAGCGTAAACGTACCGTTAGCACAAATTCAAGAAAACGATCACAAATTTCTACAGATATATACAGATCAAATTTTACTGTTGTTTGTATTACGTGGGACCTGTCTGCGGGCGACGACTTTGGCGGGGCTATTCAAATGGATTTATAATTTAGAGAAAATCGGAACTTTGACTTCCATGATGACTTCAGCGAATTGGCGAGTTAGACAATGGCGTCTTACTTATGCGAATTTTACTGTAGATATATATATATATATACGTATATATATATATA